CCCCCCACCCCCCAGCCATGACAGGCTCAAGTTGCGCCCGGTACAGGGACTGCTTTGGTAGCTGCCTTCTCCCTACAGCCACGGCATCCCTCTCCCATCAGCCTCCTGGCCCCGCCAAGGCCGGCATGAAAGGTAAGTAAGGGAAAAGTAAGGGGGGCAGCACGAAGGCATCTCCCGTCTGCTCGCGAGGAGGGTCGCACCGCCCAGACGGCCGCTCCCCAGCACTCACCCCGGCACGTCCTGCCCTGCGCCGGCACCCGCTGTGCACCACTGCGGGCACATCTCAACAAAACACACGCCTCTCTCTCTGTTTGGGAGCCTGAGGGAATACTAAACTAGGCAACTGCTTGGTGTCCACGCTTGCTTCTAAGACTACCGAAACCCTGAAACCCATGTTCCTTGTCCTCGGGGCATGGCGTTGTCATTTCTTGTATCACACCTTCAACAGAGCAGTCTGAAACAAGCACTACATCTGAGCTAGCCTGCGGACGGGAGCTTGGAAATGCTGAAGCTCCGTCAGTAGATTAGTTTTAGGTAGTCCTGCGAGTTGGACTTGACAATCCTTACGGGTCCCTTCCAGCTTGCGATACACTATGATTCTGTGAGTACCAGAAGTAGCCACCGCAGTGGGACGCTCATGCACTTAAATATTGGGTTATACTGATGCACTCGAAAACAGCGTGCCCAATCTCTCTTCCCACTCATCCTGGAATCATGTCATTCCAGGCAGCTCAGTGGGAGTTTGCCTGAAGCAAAAGGGAGAAGAGATCCAGGGATGTGTCCCTGCAAAGCAAGCGAAGCTTCTCCTGGTTTTCTCCCTAGGGCAAATGTGTGTGTTTGGTGGTTTTTTTTCCAAACAAGAGATTTGACACATGCATCACACCAAGCTGGTGGCCAGGAGAAGTACATAAAACCATCTAAACAAGACCAATTATGGAGATTGTAAAGATTCTTGGATTTAGATTTTACAAAGAAGTCTCTAAACTTTCTAGCATGCAAAATTCCATCCGAAAGTCTAGGGCAAGCTACAGTACAGCTTTCTACTACTTATAAACTAATTCAGTCTTACTGATACAGTCAAGAATCCACAGATCTGCAATGCAGGTGTTTCACCAAGCACCACACTATGCTGTGAAAGATCTAGTTTCCAGAAGGAGCATAGGCTCCTTTCTACATATATTTTATATCAGTAATGAGTATATTTCAGTATGCTTGAGGGGTTTTTTTTAATTCAGATTCCACTGACAAATTATAAAAAAAGTAGCTGAAGCCAGCTAGCTAATTTACTTTGAAGTTTTTAAGACTTCTTTGTAATGCTCTACCTGCGTTATAGAGTTTACTCTGTGCCAACAACGTACAGAAGCCTTTAAAAATGTCTTTGTTTAAACCTTTTAAAAGCCACTGTGGGTGAAGATAACTCAATCCTCCTTCAGGTACATTAACGGCTTTTGCTGAAGAGCCCCAGGAAACTCGCAGGCTGATCACGCAGGTTGCAGTGTCCTGGGCAGATCGGTTGTTCACATACAAATACAAGGAAAATAATTTTCTACCTCCCATCCTTGAATTCACCTCTTCTTAGACTACTATCCCCAAATTTACACTGAGTCTTTCAATACAAATTCAAACACAAGAACAGCAATTTATTTCAAAACTACCAAAAAAAAAAAAAATCCTTTTACAAGGATAATTACTAGTAAACTGAAGAAAAATAAGTGTCAAATAAGTATTCGCATTTGGTAAATATTATCCTCCTCCATTTCTTTCTCTCTAGAGTATCAGGGAAGATACAGCACAAAGTGTTGTCATGGAATAATGAAGTCATGTTTGGAAATAGTGAGTTATTTCAGGTAAGCCTTTGTGTTGCCAAACTAGAATGTAGCAGCACTTAAGACTGTCACTTTTTATAATGTTTGCCTATAAACTTTTTCCAGTGTGGGTTTGAAATGGTGCCCAAAAGCAAACAGAGAACAGGTGGGATTCTGAGGCATGAGTCCGCCCAACAGCTTCACTGCGAAAATCAACCAGTTTAAACTGTTAAAAAATTCCCAGCAGCACATAAACAACCTACGCTGCAAAGTTAACTCTCTCTCCAGGACACCGCACAAGGATTTTTAAGCTGCCCTAAAATTCAGGGACAAATTTTGAACTCATGTGCATGCTATACCATCAGATCAATGGCTCCCCCAAGGCTGCCATCAGGAGTCTTTCCCCTCTTCCACGTCTTTTGAGTGTACCAGAAAAATAAGGCTGTAAGTTTGCTCAGCCCCCACTTGTACACGTCCTCCGGGGTTTTCAGCAGTATCCTCCTGAATTTTCCCTTAGTGAAAATAGCTAGACAGGAGGAGGAGGAGGAGGAGATAGCCTTGCAGAGCCTGCGGCACCAAGCAAGGCTTGATGACCTGGGATCTCATCCATGCTCCTCCAGCCCTCCCTCAAGCTCTGCCTTGAAGCTCTATCCTTCAGCCATCACCATAAGCCTGTAATTCAGCCCTTCGTGGGGCGAGCTCTGCATGGCCGCGGGAAGGCGGCGCGGGATTCCTTTCTAAGCAAGTTCCCCTGAAAATCCTGTAATTGTGGCATTAGTTCCTACTGCAAAGGCGCATTACCTGATGCGAATAACACCCATCTATCACCCCTTAAAAAATCAAACAAGCAACAAAGGCGCGTGCAAAATTTCTGGTGGTGTTCTTGAACACTGGGGAGCAAGGGAGAGCACGTTGCTTCTGCTATTGTCTGCTCTCAGCTACATCCTTATTTGCAATAGCGGTGCACACAATGTATTTGGACTTTATAGGTGGAGCTATCGAACAATACCGCCATGGAAAACCAAGCTGCTGTTAAATAAACAGACATGAACTTTTTCTTTGCCTCCTCGCAGCATGGTTTATGCCATCGAGCCATCAAATGGAGTAAATACTGTTTGTATAAAAGCCAGGACCACAATAGATGACTGGGGACATTCTGAATGCTCTATTTCAGATTATTGTAAGATAAACAATTATATTCCAAATCATGCTTTTGTTCAAGATTCAGTCACTGAAACGAGAGATTTATACTTCCTTAGGTTTTTAATTATTATTATTATTAGTCTCCATTTATTAAAACGTTAACAAAGAGCTGCTTATCTTAAGGCTCAAGGCATTTAGTTACTTAGTTACAGAGCCAAGTAATTAAACAATCAGCTAATAGCTAACCCCAGCTAAGATTCTCACACAACTCTCCATAACACAAAAGCCTCAGACCCCATCAAGCCACTTTCACTTCAAAAGGCTTTAGTAAATAACTAAACACTCACCATAGCGTGCCCAGAAGGGTCAACAGACCTGACCTGTCAAGAATCCAAGAGGTTCATTGCAAAACTGAATGTCCCCATAGGGAACGCCAGGCTGCCAACCACTACCACTCCTCCTGCTTCTCCTACCCCTTCTCCTGTTTTTCCTGTCATTGAGGAAGATCCAGCAAGACCACACTGGATGAGCAATGGGGATGTCAAAATATGCCCGAAGCAGAACAGCCACGGGCCCCATGGCTTTGCGAGTCAAACCCAAGCCTTTACGCTCTCTCCAGGAGGCAGGATCGGGAAGCCCTGGCATCATCAGCCAGGTTTGCAACCTTCCCTCCCGTCTCCCCAGTACAACCTGACGGGCTTCTCCCTCAGCTTAAGTTTGCAGGCTAATACTAAGAGTAGCTCCATGTCCTCTTCAGATAGGATGATGGATGGTAAATTCAGCCTACAAAAGAAATGGCCACCAGTTTAAACATGCAGAGAGTCATTCCTGGCCACAGTGACTATCTCCCATTAGCTAACAGCAAACCAAAGCCGCAAAGGCTAAGCACATTATACAAAGGGGGACAAAACAGTGTTTGCAATTCAACCATCTGCTTCTCCAAA